CAGCAGGAAAATCGGAACAACGACAAGGACGCACAATAATCGGATGGTAGTAATTTGTTATGCTAATGTGATAGCTCGGTTATATAGTTTCGTGAAAGAATAGGTACCTTGGTGGGATTATCTCCATAGTTTGCCACTGCTATGCCGACAGCTTCTCGGTTGAGCCCAGATGCAATATATTTCGTCACCACGGGATCTGAACGCTGCATCTGTAAATCCATTTCAAAGTGATCGTGCACAGAATTTTCACTCACGCATATAGATACAGCCCGCGGAAATCCCAAGCACTATCAGTTTTACAGAGACCAACTTTCCAATCCAGTGGAGCTGAAAAATTACATAATGATTCTCACATTTTGTTCTTTATTGGTCCTTTCCGTTTCCTAAAATACCACTTCTCTTTGCTATAATCATCTTCTCCTTCAACTTCATACGAACAATTTTCAATGCTGACTCAGTTTGACCAGACTAACCTTTTGCAGGAACTTCAACAGTCATGAACACACCAGAGAATATGCAACAACTAGCATAGGTTTCTAGAACACGAAACCGAGATGCACAAAAAAAGACATTTCGGAGAAATTTCTGAAATCACGAGGGGGCGTTTACCGATGAAGAAGTTGATTCTAGAGATCTGGTCGGAAAATTGTCCGTCCCAAATTTGCTCCAGTCTTGGCTTTCTTTCTCCGCCTCCACAAGGACTTTCCTCTCCAGGCTGAAATCGAACTGGAAATTGCTCCGGGGAATATCTCCCACTCTAGGCAACATTTGAGGCTGCAAAACCCCCCAAAAAAAAAACTTACAACTCTTCAACACTGTCCTCTGTCCACAACAATGCCTTACAATTTCAACCTGGAAAGCTAAATTTTCTTTTTCCTCGACTTCACTCTATGGCTATGTCGGCGGTCGGCCAAAAGAATAGATCTTAGTATGTAAGTATGTGTCTAACAACGTAACAATTGCCAAAAAAAATCACTCAAAATGTTCTCCGATTTCTTAGTAGAAGGTTGAATTTAGCGTTAGAAACAGGAGCAGCCATTGGACATGAGCGTTCATATCTTAACCTAAAAAATGCCACAGCCAGAGAATGTAAATCTCACCGGTGGAGTAATCCGATACTCTGGCTTTATGGTAACCTTAATCCCCAATCCAGCTGCCAGAAAACAGGTCATCAAAACATCAAGCTATGCATCAGATACACATCACGCAAATCACTTCAATCCATCAGAAACCTTCAACTAAAGCCTAATCGAGATCAATTCCATAAATCGCTCTCATAAAAAAAAATCCATAAATCGCTCGAGAAAAAGAACCCAAACACCATATCATGACCGAGAAAAATGGGAGAAGAACGAGATTAAGGTCAGACATACAAGAGGAAGATGATGAAGGAGATGGGGCATGGTGATACGGAGAGTTTCGCGCCGGCGGGGGGAACAAGGAATTGGCGTGGCCTTGTTGAGCGATCTTCGGGTATCCGGCAGGTCCATACATCGGCGATGACGATGCCGCGGCGGGACCGTACATAGGATGACCGGAGGATCCGTACGGTGGACCAGATTTGTTCCTGAAATCGTAATCCATTGCTTTCGATCGTCGAAGAAGAAGATGAATAAGCAGAGAATCGGGGAGGAGGGGGGAGAGAGAGAGAAGACTTGAAAATGAAATCTGACTTTTGCGAATTTGTGATGACAAACGCGTGTGAGATTAGTTCTGTTTGGAATCGCGTATAAGTGTATCTTATCCCGGGTTCCGCTCGTCCCTTCTTTGTTTCCGTCGGAGCATACTTGTCTGTCGATTATGCATCATATATACTTCATAGCCTTGGCATGATGGCATCTTACCCTGTGCCTGTATTTGTCTCGGCCAAAACCAAAAGTTTACAAGCTACTGCCATCTTCACCAAAATGGTTGCTAGATGGGAAGTTAATCTTCCAATTTGTAGAGTACTAAAGATGTATATGAATATAGATATACTGGTAATTTCTTTATTTCGATTATATTTATACACATATATATGTATATGTATATTGATTCGTTGGATAGGTAAAACAAGACATTCTTCCGCATTTCTTGAAATTGAATGTATATTTGTGTCTGGAGGGTCCGGAAACCTCTAGACTGGGAAGCCAGACTGAGGATCTGTGTTTGGAACGGGGCGAGAGGAAGAATTGAACGTAATCCACTCGCAAAGCGGAGGCAAAACTCGAGACTAGGAAAACCCGAGGTTGCTCACTTGGGTGAGAGGCGAGTGAATTCGGCGGTTAAGAGAGGAATGAATGGGTAGGAGTTGTATTTTAATAAGTGTACCCAAGTCGAGTAGGAGGCCAGGATTGGGTGTATGAGCAGCGAGGTTTCCGGATAAGATGCCAACATGGCCGAGGTCGTAAAGATAAGGCTCGGAGAGTTAGCCAGCCGGTGTATAGGCCAAGAGGCTTCTTCTGGTTCAGCGGTTGACCCCACTAGCAAGTCTTGACAGGATCACCACCCTACTTACCACGAGAAACACTCTCTAATCTTTTCTTACAATGTATAAACTTTCTGTATGAGAAGATATCCTCAGAAATGGTTTCCAACAACTTTCAGTTCATTTTTTAGACCAGTGAAATATATATATATATATATATATATATTCATTTCAAGAAGAAAATACAAAACAGAATAAAGATGGAATCAAATTAATAAACACATACCGCCCTGATATTATGGACCCAACCAGAAAAAGGTTCCATTTCACCTTCATGACAGGGAGTCCACATGCTCCCTCCTTTCAAGCCTATGAAGAGGAAGGAAGTCACTTCTTTGAAATTCTGGTCTTAATACCCCCTGGAAGGAAAACAAAAGACAAGTAGATGATGCTCGATGAGTCGAGAAATCCCAACATAACTCTGTTGGATTCAAAAGAACTTTAGGCAGTTCACTCATTCAAACCTTCGACTTCTTCAAAGAAAACTTCCTTTACCAATGTTGCAGCTGCATTATATTCAAACCTAGGAAAGAGAAGAATGAATTGGGATTTAAAAAAACATTTTGCATATCAACAACAACAGTTCGCAATTAAAAGATTGGTCGGATTACTGCACGCATCTGGATCTTGTCGTGTCAGAAAGAATAACAAAGTCATATCAGAAATCTCTTAAATTCGTTTCTTTTCTCCCAGCCACTTCTAAGCAAATTACCTCACTGTATTCACTAGATTATCCCAATTGAATCCTACTGATTAAGCACCTAAGCTTCTAAAAATCATAACTAGGGAGTGACAAGAACAGTGATAAATATGTGTATGGCAACATGACTAGAGAGTGACAAGAACAAGGTCCAGTTACCTGTTAGAGACAGCCACTTCAAGCTCGTAGTCGGATGCATTCTTAGTGACATCAACCACGACCTTGACAATTTCGGTCTTGCGAGTACTGGCCATGAGTAAATCGTATTCTGTTGGGATAACGATGGCAAAGAAGTTGTCGCTTAATTTGCTCAAACAGAGCTTATCCACTGCCGCAAGGGCTATACGCCGTTTGAGAGCATCGGTCTCAGGATCAATAAGATAGAGAGCAAAGTCGGTGATGATAAAAATGCGCCGTTTCATCTTCCCCGAGCCAGTGAACTTCAAAACTTTATCAGCAAAAACAACTGTCTTGTCACCTGCATCAACAATTACACAATTAGGGATCAAGATCATGTGGCACTCGACCTTATTTCAAGGGAGAGGAACCTCAAGAAATGGTATGAGTATCCCTGACAAACCTTCTCAGTTAAAGCAGAATCTTTTCGGATATCCTTAGATTCAAAAGCAAGATGAAGCTCAACAGGAACTAATTATCCCGATACTGCTACAAATTCGTGTAAGATCAGATCACAGCCAAAACTAACCATGGATTCACATGAATTTTTGTGATGCAAGTCAACTAGAATCCCTTTGCTTCCTCCCAAATTTTCGACAAGATTAAGAAAATCCTAGAATGAGTTGCACTGCACCTTGAGATCAAATAAACATCCCTTTGCTTCCTCCCAATTAGCAAACATGAATCAAAACGATGGTATCCGATCTCAGAATTAGTGATGCCAACAGTTCCAAAACCATATCCAATCATGAAATATCGACAAAACTAGTACCCAATCGAAAGTGTAACCAGCTAGAAATGAATACAAACAAGATGAACAAAAAAAAATGAAGAATCCTCAATCAAAGAACCATAATCACACAGCCAAACCTTGTTTCTCCAGAATCTTCATCAAGCGAGGACGCGAAGGTACGTCGAGATAGTCACCACGGTACTCCCTACGGCGAGACGCTTTCCTTCTGACTTTACCTCCCATGAAAGGCTCCTGATCCTCTCCCTCCTCCTCTCCTCCGGCCCCTTCCTCCGCCGCATCGTCATCTCCGGTGTCGAAAACCGGCGGATCTGACTCCTCAAAATCTGTTCCCTTCCTGTACCGATCCATCTTCCACGGCGGCGACTCGGAATCGGTGGCTTCTTTCTTCACGAAGTTGATCAGACACGTGGCACCATTTGATTCGTTGTATAGGAATTGAATCTCCTCCGTTGGATTATAAGACTTTGAACATTGCTTGAACCTGCGCCACATAAAAAAAGGACGAGCGCGTGGTTTTTCATGCCATATGAACAACGCCAAGTTGAGCCACTTACAGAAATTAAATAAATAAATAAATAATGCGAATCCACCAATCAAAGAAGAAGAAATTCGTTTTCCACCATATCTACTGTGCTCGCAATTATACAGAATCTAAACTCCTTTTCTTCGTCCATTTCTGCAATTCTCGTCGTCTCACTCCTTCGAAAACAAGCGCGGAAGGAGACGAGAAAATCACCCAAATAACCCACTTGGTTCGCATATATTTCAATGTACACCACCAAAAAAAAAAAAAATTTCAATTTTAATCCACTTCTCGGTTGGAAAAATCCGAAATACCCTTTTCTTTTTATTTTTTGCGACCTTATTACGACTAATTTATAACTGATCTACAACTAAAAATAAGACAGATGATTTTTTTGCCACCTTTTTTAGAATCAATTGTAACTATATTTAGACTTAATTACGAAGTCGTAATAACGAAGTTGTTTTCGAACGGATAAATATCGTAATTCATTAAGGATAATTTCGTCTTTTCGTAGGAAAAAAAATGTGTTATGTTTTCGGTGGTGTATAGGTGAAATAGATGCGACCATTTGGGTAAAAAATCCGAAGGAGACCGCGAACTCAAAAGAGCTCTTTTCTGGAAATCTTTGTTTGTTTTCGTCGGAATATATGTTCGTTTCTGGATTTTTCTTATCTGGGTATTGATTAATCCTTGGATTGTGTTTGTCGTAGATTTTCGGATATGGCGTCGAAGCGGATCTTAAAGGAATTGAAGGATTTGCAGAAGGATCCTCCTACTTCATGCAGTGCAGGTACCGCCAAGTCTTGTTTCTTCCTTGATGTTTTGATGGAAACCATAATTTGCTTCGATGGGTACATCTGCTCGATCGTCGTCTTGCTCGGAATTGAATGTATGTGTAGTAACGTTTGGGTATTGATCTCTAACTAGCTTAGATGGAATTATCTGCCCGTGGTTAACATAATTTCCCCTTCCCGGGTTTCCAGTTCAATCGAATTCTGGATATCAAATTTGTGTGGTTCCAGCTGCAAATGGGAGTGTCATCCTTGATTTCAATTGCTTGTTTCTGGTTACTTTGTGGGCTGTTTCATTTCTGATGTTCTGGGATGGATCGTAGAAATCTAGTTCTGACCTTGAATCTCTTGAATGTCTCAACTGTTTCTTCCATCTGATCTTGAATGCCTTCTTGATTTGGAATTGCTTGAAAACGTCGCAGGGCCTGTGGCCGAAGACATGTTTCTTTGGCAGGCGACGATCATGGGTCCTACGGATAGCCCTTACGCAGGAGGCGTTTTCCTAGTTACGATCCATTTTCCTCCGGATTACCCTTTTAAACCTCCTAAGGTAATCCAATATCGCTGTTAACGACGAATTGTGAGACTTTGAAGTTTATCATCTCCCATGCTTCTCTTCTGCTAACCTCGGCCATTGAGCTTGTATATTCGATGTACACTATGGCATAATTTCGACATCTCCTATGAACAAATCTAGGTGGCCTTCAGGACAAAGGTGTTCCATCCGAACATTAACAGCAATGGAAGCATCTGTCTTGACATCTTGAAGGAGCAGTGGAGTCCTGCTCTTACGATTTCCAAGGTTCAATTTTTCTCGTTTTTTGTTTACTTGAGGTGTATGCCATTACTAGGCCTATATGCTCTCTAGATAAACACTTAACATAAGTAATAGTCCTACACATGATATGCCAAGACGCATGTTCATGTTCACGCCCTCGGTTAGGAATAAAGTTCGTTTCTTTCAATCCAAAACCCATTACACGATCAGCAAACCGCATTAGCGACCTGCCATATACACAACTAATCTGATTCTATCTTTCCTGTTAACAAGCTTAACCTATTTTTTGACAGGCATTCGATCCGATTTTCATGTACCCCACATCACACAACTTGATCTCAAATGCAAAGAAAATCACATCGCTTGTTTGCAATTGAATACTTTCCCCTCCTGTTATCACTGTCCTCAAACCCACAGTTACTATGCTTTTATTCTTGTTGCCATCTAAAAGTGATGTTGTTAAGATGATAAACTGTCTTTAATGATTAAGTTTTGGCATTTTGGATGAACACTTCTAAGGAGCTTGTCTGAATTTGGAACAGGTGCTGCTATCGATCTGTTCTTTGTTAACGGATCCGAACCCCGATGACCCGTTGGTGCCCGAGATAGCTCACATGTACAAGACAGACCGGAGCAAGTACGAGTCCACGGCTCGGAGCTGGACCCAGAAGTATGCAATGGGGTGACAAAGCTTTAGAAGGGGAAACCCCCTTATCTAACTCAGATTTCATATCTATATGTATGAAAAAGGGACCGTAAGAAATGGTCTCAGAAAGGTGTAGATGATCTTTAACTAGAAACTGAAATGTGAATGTATCTTCTGTGATTGATTTGTATTGTATGGGCGACCAAACTGCCCCAAGAAAATTTCGGTTTTATGGGCCGAGATGGACTCTTAGGCCCATTAGTGTTGGATAGTTTTTTAATCAAAATCTAAATTAATTCTAAAATGTTTTTTTTTTAATGTCCGTAAACTTCTCTTTTCTTATTTACTTAGGGATTAAAAAACAATAGGGGAAACTAATTCGGAAGAAACTGGTGCTCGGGTGGGCTTTGATGGGCCCATGCTCCATTAATTGCTAATAACCAAACGGGTTTGGTAAATATTTGGATTTAACTGGAAATTATTTTATCGTATTAAAAAATAATTTTATAAAAATAATAAATTGAATAAAAAATAAATGCATTGTCAAAATAAATGTTTTTTTAAATGAAAATCGAATTCAAAACCAACAGAATCAAAATGAACATAATTTATATTAAAAACGCATGCATATAATATTTTCAAAACTGATAATCCAAATTAAAAAAAACTTTTTGTGGCCAAAAAGTTATTAAATTTCAATCCACAAAATGTTCAACATTGTCTCATGCTTTATCACTAGGGATCGGTCCGACCCGATCCGGCCCGGATCCATACTTGGCCCGAGAATTTTGGGTTCAGGTTCGAACCGGCCCGAATTTTTTCGGGTTTATAAAACTAGGTCCAAACCTAATTTTATAGGGTTCGAGTTCGGATTCGGGCCGACCCTATTTAAAAAAACTGCAAATTTAAATAGACACTAAATATCATAAAAATAAACTAAATATATTCATTAATAACTAAAAATAAAACAAGATATAAAAATATATACCATGAAAGTAAACTAAATATCTTTAAAAACAACTAGACAAAATGGTCAAATCCTGAACTTTTTATATAAATCACCCAATTGTTAATACGTCTTCCATCCCAATCGTAGAGTGATCGCTTGTAGACTCTGACACGGTAGAAAAAGGAGACAGTGAAGCAGCTAGAAATCCATCCGTCGATTCCACGGTACCAAGGCCTGATTCTATACACCAATTACAAAAGTCAGAATATTAAACATAAACATCTACATTACCAAATCATAATCTTGACAATGTTATGAACATATATACTTACCAAATTCTTTAAAACTAAATATCCAAGAACGGGCACATAATAAAGCTTGGACGTTCTTAGGCAAAAGACGGTTTCTATACTTGTTCAACACGCGAGAACCAGCACTAAAAGATGACTCAGAAACAATGGTAGTAATAGGAATACTAAGTATATATGATATCATAAAAGTCAATTCTACGCCATATCTTCCGGTATTAACCTTCCAATATTGTAAAATGTCCATATCACTATGGATTTTGATGTTCATTTTACGATCAAACAAATACTTATCCAAAGCTGATCCCGATCCATCGTTAGAAGAATTACCATCATCACATCCATATAAATCCTATATAATACCCAATATTGAACAATGTTATAATCAAAAGAAATCATTGGGAAGACTAATAAAACGAAGAAAAAAATAGAACTTACCACGTAAAGAGTCGACTTTTTAACCTTTTCCTTTGAACCGGTCACATTTGGAGGAGTTGAGCTTTTTGAAGTTGACACCGCAAAATTAGTCTTGTATTCTTCAAAGAGTAAATACATCTTATTCTTCACTTTGTCCACCTTAAATTCACTCGTGTTTTTACCGATTTGGTCATAACAATACTTCAACCCCTTCAACTTCATCTTCGGATCCAGCACGGCTCCCATGGCAAGAACGATACTATATTCATCCCAATATTTATCAAATTTCAATTGCATCTTTTCAGCCATACTCTTAAGAATATCATCTTCGCTCCGCGCATATTCCCTCAAAAGTAGTTCGATTTTCCATACTTTCATGAAGTATAAGTTGGAAGTCGGATAATATGTGATTTCATCAAAGGGCTTCAAGAAGTCGCATATTTTTTCGGCTCTTGACCACTCTTCATTAGACGGACAACACTTGTAATTCTATCCATTATCTCAAGAGAAGAGAAAGCCTTTCGAAACTTGAGAGCATTATCAAGCATCTCATAAGTAGAGTTCCAACATGTCGACACATCCACAGACAATGAGGATCTGATATCACTACCGAGTTGGTCCACACAACATCTAAACTCTTTCATCCTCGATTCAGAACCTCTAACATATTTCACACTTTCTCTTATCTTCTCCAAAGCATCACAAATTATTTTCAAACTGTCTTGCACAATGAGGTTCAAGATATGCGCACAACATCTCACATGAAAGAACTCACCATTACACAATAATCCGTTTTGCCTATCAAGTTGATACTTCAACATATCTTGCATACAATCGTTGCTTGAAGCATTACCCAGAGTGAGAGAAAATATCTTTCTCTCTAAGCCCCATTCTCTCAAACAATCAAGTATTTTCCTGCATATTTTCGTTCCCGTATGTGGGGGAGTCATAGAGCAAAATGATTTCCTGATCAACTTTTTCGTCATCCATTATTCACAGTCTGACTACAAAAAAAACAATATGAGAAGAAATATACAATCAGATTTAGATAGATAAAAATACACGGCGATACCAGATTCATTTCAACGAATGCAAACACAGAGACTGAAAATAATAAACTCATAGTCTGAGATTGGATCAGTCGACAAACATAAACCCACAATCAGATTTAAACGAATGAACACACACAATCAACTAACATAAACCCACAATCACATAAAGACACAAATAAACAAAATTGTGCAAACACAGACAATAGAAACACATACATAATAATAGAAGACGAATAGAGAAAATGATGAAGAACAATAAGCGAGAGTGAGAACTGGCCATCGTCGACAAAGAGAACATCGATCATTGTCAATCGAAAAATAAAGGCGACAGAGAGATGAGGCGACCCAGACAAGACAAACCCAGATGGGAAACATCAACGTAAGGTGAAGAAGAAGAAAAAAAGAAGAAGAGGAGGATGGAAACTTACCGAGAGAGATGGATGCGCCGAGATCGAGAGAGGGAGAGGGAGACACATACAACAATCGAGCATGATGAGGTGATGACAGAAGAAGAAGAAGATGAAGAAAGAGGAAGAGTGTGATAGCCCAAGATACCATAGGAGGGCGGGGAGTGATCGCTGATGCAAGAGGCATGGACAATGGGCAGCTCCTGACTAGCTTCTGGGTAGGGGGTACAGGGATGAATCGGACGCATCGGAATGAGAGGGATCTGAGGACTGTGTAGGTATGGGACTATACAGTCTAAGATAACTTAAAGGAATTAATTGAGCTACTCATAACAATAAGATGTATCTGTCTTTTCGGTTGTCCATCTCAAGAGAACTCCAAAGTTAAGCGTGTTGGCCTTGGAGTAGTCTTAGGATGGGTAACCTCCTGGGAAGTGCTTTCCGGGATGTATGCGAGTAAAGAGAAAACACGCTAAGAGGTCCCGTGTTGGTGTGTGTGTTGGAAATTCCTGGGATCTCTACAACAAATCTAATTCCTAAGAGATCGATTCTAAGGTTTGCGCAACGGATGTAAAGCAAAAATTTCTATAAACCCTAGAAAACGTAAGAACACTTACCTCAATCGATCTGGGGCATGTTTCGATTATCACGTTCGTCCGATCACGGAAGGGATGAAGATTACCTCACCCTCTACACGTATCCACACCTCGGGATGGATTCCAACGATTGGAACTTGTCTGCTAGGACCCGAATCTACTATTCGGTATTGTGCTACGAGAAAACGGGATTTTAGATCACTCCTTAGACCCTTAAGTCTCACCAAAAAGTCTATAGAAATTCTCTTTTTCGTCTCATCTTTATTAGGGTTCTTAATCTCCTTCTTATAAAGTGATTAACCCTAATTTTGAGTTTATTTTTGAAAAATCTGAAATCCGGAACAGATGGTCTGGCTACGTGGACCGTTCGTTCCAGACATTTAGTCCGTCATGTAAAACCTGACATCCGGAACGGACGGCCTGGCTACGTGGACCGTCCGTTCCAGACATTTCGGTCCGATAGAGTACCATACTCTGGACCGTCGGGGCTGGGCATTATAGACCGGATGATCCAGCTACGTGGACCGTCCGGTCTGGACCTTGTGTCCAGGCTTCTCGTCGTTTTCTCGTGCATTTGTCCTTCCCTGCGTGTGTGACCCTGTAAGCTCATTCGAGATAGCAATATAACTCGAAATCTCCATCTCAGGCATACAAGTCATAGGCGGTCTCTAGCAAGATACTATGACTACCTAGCTCGAATAGAGTTTGTTCGTGATCTTATGAACGTTAGTGATGATTTCGGTTGATGATCATTTTGTATCATGATATCATATGTCGAACATAAGGCATGGAAAAGTCAACTTATCTGATTCGACTAGTTTCTCGTTCACAGAGTTCTACTGTATGAAATAGACGATGCTCGTCTATAGTGTGGCCTAGGGGTGGCCATTTCGGTTATTAACCGAATAACCGAACCGAACCGAACCGAATAAGATATAACCGTACCCAAACCGAATCCGACATCAAAACGGAACGGTTATGATTTCCTTAAACCCGAAAAACCGAAACCGAAACCGAACCGAACCGAATAAAAATTAACCAAAAAAACCGAGAGAATAACTGACAATTTCTTTGGAAAATTGAACTTTTTACCAAAACCGAACCGAACCCGAACCGAACCGAACCGGAATTTATATAAAAACCGAATGGTTATAGTTTTTCTATAACCGAAATAACCGAACCCGAATATAACCAAACCGAACCCGAACCGAAACCCGAATTGGCCACCCCTGTGGCCACACATTTCTACAGTCTCGCTCACACGAGGGGTCCAGCGATATCTCTCTCTTTTACGATAGGTACAAATCTCATCTTGACTGTCTACAATCCAGCACATGATTCGAGTCGTATTTGATACACACCTTTATAGTCTTCCTGTTACGCAGGACGTTTCACGTATTCAAAGTATGCAACTACTCATGTTGTATTCCGTAAACATCTCAGGTCATATGATCCAATCATGGAATCGTCACATAAGATTCAAGTCATGACGCTAGTCCATGTGACAATCT